TTTTGAGATACACTTTACATCGTGCAGCGATTTCAATCACAAATGTAAATTCGGCAGTCGTGTTCACGTGACAATTTCTCTTTCTCCCTTTCGTTCTCTCCTCTCTTTCTCTCTCTCTCTCTCTATGTTTCTTTGATATGGCGACGTAATACGTTCCGGAATTTATATTACAATAAAAACCGGCGCGCCCGAGCGGGATCAACAAATGCCTGCACGCATTAGTGCCAATCCCGCAAATCGCTGATTTCGTAACGACTCATTATTATCGGTCAGAGGAGCGATCACGTAACCTTGTAACTGAACCCACTGCGATTACGCGTTGTAATTTACGAATGCCTTTTACGTTCTGGAGATCCACGTTTGTAAAATTTATTTTCATAATCAGACATCGTCGTCGCCGCCGCCAAAGGTATGCACGCGTTTATAAATATTTATTCCTACTTTGCAATTTTTCTTTCTTACGATATCGACGCGAAGATACGCGCTAATTACCTACTTCTTCCTATCATTTATGCCGTTTCTCCGCCATGTATATGAACATTATGAGAGAATGAAAATTAAATAAAAATTTTATATTTTAGAAAAAGGTATCAAATATATGTTCTTTGTTTCCTCATATCAAATATATTCTGTAAAAATAGATGTTTTTAAATAGAAATTTATATAGAACTATGAATATTTTCTCTTTATATTTATAATACATATAATTTTATTTTATTTTCTTCCTGTTTTCCTCGATGTTTTCCTTTCTTTTCACAAATGAAAAATTCAAAAATTTAAGTAATTAAAACAAGTAAATTCCTATTAATGTTAATTTCGTATATTCTAATGGTATTCTCAGTTGAGTACTTATTGAAAAATTTGATTTATATATGCATATTGCTTGATAAAAAAATAATAACGACTTTATCAGATTCAAAGATTATCTTGATAAGTAAATTCTTGGACAAACAATTACATCATTATGATGTTTATCGTAATGAACGATGATGTAAGGTCGTCATTTTTGTATGTAATTTAGGTGTAGAATCAACGTCGGTACGATATTTTACAGCGTCCAGAAATATTCAAGCCGCATTTCGAGACGCACCACTCGAAGCGAGTACGGTAAACGCAAATATTTTCGCAGAACGAATCGCATGCCGGCCGTCTACGACAAATTAAACTATCATTCGCGCGATTTTAACAGCCTTGCCGCTACGGGCCGTCGCGTCGGTACGATCTTTGCCATCAGTCACGCGCGTAAACGTTAATTAAGCATTTCGCACGACGTATTTTTGCAACGCGTGTTTCATAAACACATTGCTTGATCCAAATTCACGACCGGAGATTCGATGAATCACGTCTCGTACCGTTTTGACGTTTCGTCGAAGAAATAATCGACGTCTCAGCGTTTTCGAACACTAACAAAAAAGTCTAGTAATAATAACCAAGACAATATATTTTGCTGAAGTATTTAAAATATATACATTGGAAAATGGGTCTAATTGCATTCTAATTGGGATTCTGATGATTAAAAAAGGTTTTGGCTTATAAAATACAACCAGAGATCTATCTAGTCTATATACATATATAACCTATCTAAAGCCGTAATCACACTAGCGATTGAGCGATTGTGATTGACGATTGAGGATTACTTTTCAACCAATCAGAGCAAAGCAGTCACCGATTACTTCGTTCCGATTGGTTGAGAAATAATCCTCAATCATCAATCACAATCGCGCAATCGCTAGTGTGATTACGGCTTAAGGAAAGAGACAACCAGAATTCTGATCAATGTAATCAGAATCTTCTCATTCGTCCATTTTCCATCAAAAGTTTTTCTCAATATTAGCAAACTTTTTTCAGCGAAAGAAAAATAACTCCAGAGTGCTGACAGATAAAAGTTACGAAGAAAAATACGAGCAGGGAGGAATCTAACTACACATTTAAGAAAAAAAGTTGTATATCCACATTATTTTAAATACCTACATACATATACATTTTCAAACGAAAGAAATAAAGGCGAACTAAACTAATTTTTTTCCTCAATGTAGTTCAAATTAAACGAGTATCTCGCGAAAGCAAACGGAATTTACCTCGCGAGACGAAATTCAGCTCGCGAAGTTGGATCCATTTCGCGCGCGCATCTCGAGGGAGATTTTACACGTCGTGGCCAAGAATACGTGGACGAGAGAGAATCAGAGAATATTCACCGAGAAGACTCGTTTCAAAAATTCCGCGAATAAACGAGATGAAAACAAACATCAAGCGACGATGCGCGCTTCGGCGAAGCGCACCAGCAGCCTCGCTTCACCGAGCGGACGCGCGAAAACAACGTCGAATTCACAATTCGAGAGAGAAATGCTGACAGAAAAATCACAGGAACGTAATTGCGATCGTGTTGTGTTATTCTCGCAATATCATATAATTCCTTTCCGAGCTGCCTTTCGTAGATTCGCGCCCCTCAGAATTCCGTTATTCTTTATACACAGAAAAATATTATACTGTACGCAATCAATTACTCGTTCCAAGTATTTCAAAAATCCATATATTTGCAAATCATCACACACGTCAAACTTATTTAAAATATATTCTAAATCCTCTATCCATCTAGTAAGTTTAACACTACAATCAAAATTATTAAAATAAATTCTGACTGTTATACAAAATCTCGCTTTTTCTCAATCAATTTCATAATATTCCTCTTTTCTATAATATAAAAAATTTGTAATAAGAGTATATTTTAAAATTATTATCAAGAACATATTCTTTGTTAAAGATAATCGTTCTTTAAAAAAAAAGAAAGTAAATTCGGTATAGTTATTTTTCTTTGTTTTCTTATAAAAATAGAATAACATTCTTCTGTGTATAACAATAATTTGGAACAAACGGATACGAATCAATTGCGGAGGAACGTAAAATTTTCCTCCTCTAACTGTATCTTGTTGCTGGTTCGTGTAATCCTTGACCGATAGTTCTCGTCCTACCGAGAAATTAAATAAATGTCGAGTGTAATATAATGCTCGCCGTGCACGCTCGAGATATTTCTAGTATCTCGAATCGCATCGTCGACTTTCAGCGGTATTCGCACTTCGCTTCAGTACAATTAAATTCAATTAAAATTAAGATTTCCAGCAAGCTCTTATTCCGTCTGAAATACGCCCTTTCCAAAAGTGATTTATTATGCTAACTTAAAAGTCACAAAAATAAAGAAAAATGATTATCTTTCACAAAATATTTCTATATTGAATTAATTTTTAAATTAATCTCTGAATACAAAATTTTTTAAATAAATTAGAGTTAAAGCTTTTTTTTAAATAACATAGTGAGACTTTTTGCTTATCGCAACAAATAAAGAGAAAAGTTAAAAGTGATTGTTCATAAAATATTTCTATTAAATTAATCCGAATTAAAAACTTTTTATATAAATTAGAGAAGTTTTTCAGATAACGTGAAACAAGATTTTGGCTTCTAAATTATTGATTTTGTACATTATTAAATCTATAATGCCAAAAACTTATGCCTAAGTTCTAAGCAGACTCGTAATATATTCTCGTAAGACTTATAAGAACTTTTAAGTGCTTGTACTTTTATACAATATCTTTACAGACAGTTTCTTTTACTAGCCATAAGATTTTTACACAAGAAATTGTATATATTTACTAACAATAGTACGTCTTACAATACATACGCATAAAATTAGAATACTATTCATAAGTTCTTATAAGTTTTACGCGAATAAGTTACGAGTATTATGATTGTGTTTAGAATTGATCCATTAATTAAAATCACCACTGCTCTTACTAAATATTTATATCGTTATGTTATACTAAGGCAATGGAATTAGACAGTTCAAAATTTAGATAATAGTGTTACACTATATAGCGTTAAGAATAGAACCATTGTTTTAGTATAAAATACCGATATAATTATGTAGGAACAGGTTACTTGCATTGCAAGTTTATACATACAGTGCAAATTTAACAGTGCAAGTAAAGAGAAATGTAAGATATTAATAAGCAATTGTTTCCTATGAAATGTTTCTATTAAATTAAACTAAGTTAAAGATTTTTTTAAATAAATTAAAAACGTTATTTTCTTATTAAGTAACAAAGCAAGAATATAGTTTTTAAATTATTAAATTTAATATCCGTAAAACTATATACATAAAATTATTAACATTAAAGATGTTAAGCAATTATCTTTCTTAAGATATTTCTATGAATTTAATTAATCTGAACGAATTTAAATTAATAACACCGTAAACTCTAAAAAAAAACTGTAAATAAAGTAAAGAATTGAAGATGCTAAGTTTTAATTATCTTTCATAAAAGTCTTATTGAATTAATCTGAGAGTTAAGGACTTTTTAAAATAAATTGAAAACAATGTTTACTTAAATATTACAACAAGAGTCTGGCTTTTAAATTATTGAATTTATAAATTTTAATCACATAAATAAGATCATATAAATAAAACAAAAATATTAAGTGATTATATATTCTTTTTTGTAAAATATTTCTACTGAATAATCTAATTTACGGATTTCTTTAATAAATAGGAGATACGCAGAATTTTCTCATATAACGAATCAATTGTGGCTTTCAAATGATTGCTGGAGTTAAACACAAATTCATGAATTAATTTTTAGATAAATAGCCAGTCGTCTTTTTTCGCTTGATTTTAAATGTTCTTAACAATCCTCTAATCTCAAAAATTATGGCGGATGATGTCCTTTCGCCGAAGGAAACCGGATTCCGGCAACGATTATTACTATACAAGCGCAGCCGATATCAAAAACCATACTCAACCCGAGCTCCGAAACTCACAATCGTATCCGCAATTAAATAAATCGGGCGCGTCCAATAGACGATTTGAGGCATCGGTCGTTACGAGTCGTTGCACTTTTCCACGGCCAACAGGTGGTAGCGGCTCTGCTCCGAGAGCGAGGAAACGCGGCCGAAAGGGACTCCGAAATTACGACGCGCTCCACGCACAACACACATGCACACGCACTTACCTTGAAAATCCAATAAATCTCCGAACAGCAATGATATTTCTGGTGAGACGAAGCCAAGATCCTTCGGCTACTCCGTTCACGTCTCTTACAAAGACTCCGAACAGTTCGAACAACTCCGAAAAAGAACTCCTTCAGCCGATCCAATTGAAGTCAGGCACAGATTATTTCACAGGATTCGCAATAGCCGGCACCAGATTAACAGCGATACACACACGCGAACTTGTCGCGCCGCGACGCGCGACTGTTGCGGCCGTTTCGTATTCGCGAGACGAGACGTGCGAAATCGCGTAACGCGACGGCGCGACGCAAGGAGAACGAACGCTTGTACGGAACGACGCGACGCGCAAATGAAACCAAATGAAACATGGAGTGGGACCGGCGGGGTAAAACGTTACCAGCGCGCCCGGCGGTCGTTGCACGAACTACGGCGGAGGGCGGAGATAGTCTCGAGCGCGAACGACAGTGGCGGCGGCGGCGGCGGCGGCGGCGGCGGCGCGAAGCACGAACGTAGACGGGAATAGCCGAGCGCGGCCGATCTTCGTATGCCGCTCGGCCGGACATTCTCGCTTGCGTTGCTTTTGGAGTAAAGGTCTCTGAGTACAGGATTGCCGTAACATTAAGGACCACGGTACATAAACAAAACTTGAGCAGGAAAATGTAAGCAGTCAACAAATTGACCAATTACAGTAGATACGAGTTCGTAAGGCCATAATGTAAGCAGTAGCCAATTCAACATCTTGATTTTTTTACTACTTAACATAGTAGATGTTAACGTAAGATAGTAACAAAAAAGTGTAAATAAATCTTCAAAAATTGAGACAATAAATTATAAAAAAGATATTTACGTTTTTTTTTATATTTTTCGCCGTTTCAATTTTTGTTTCCTCTATAGAAGCTTTGTTTGCACTTCTGTTTTACTCTCGCCTTTATACATTCGATCGACTTATACTTACTCCGACTTTTCTTTGTCAAGGTTTAAGTGATGAAAACCATTCTCTCTTACATTAAATCGTTCTCAATAAAACCCGATCTACAGTATATACTCTTTGCTTCCTGTTTCTTTACCTTGTTTTATCTCACTTATCTTTTTCCCTCTTTATATTTTTATTTTATCGACAATCTTATTTTCTTGTCTATTTCGAAGTTCGTCAACTTTTATCTCGAGAACAGAAAATAAGAAAAACAGAATAAGAGGCAAAAACTGGTAATAAAAAGCAAGAAATGTTCAAGCTTAATATCCGTCTCGTGTCTTTCGTAGAATTGTTCATTTTATATGAAGAATCACCTGCACGTACGTTGTATTCTAACGATATAAATTTGCATGTGATTTATTCTTTACAATCGTATTATCCCTATTATTGACTCGTGGTATAAAACTCTAGTAAAGTCGTAAATTAATTTGCCTGGATATCCTTTGAATCAAACAGGGAGAATAAATTTGATTATGTTTAAACCTCGAACGTATAATAAAGATTTTGAATAATTTATCGGAAGTGCTTTGAATTACTCAGAATACAGTGTATGCCATATTCGCTTACATATAAAGAATTCGTTTTATAAAGTTAAATATTTCAAAGAGACTAACCGCAGCCGCTGACCTCGATGTTTGTTTATGCGCAGCGTACGCAGGGAGGCACTTTTTCGTGACGTAGCATCGTGACTCGGGCAAACAGGTAACAGGCGCGAACTGAACTGTTTCGACATTTTTCGTGCTGTCACTCTTGAAAATGCTATCATTCTTCGCAAATAGTCAATGTAAATACGAATGCAATTAAATGCAATTAATTATTTATCGGAAAGTGGGTATTTCGTGAGCTGTGATTCATCTTAAGTCAAAATTTATGGAGTGGTATTGATATATGCCTGGTTTATGCTTCAGGTCTTAATCCCAAGATCCTAAAATTCAACCAATAAAGCTGCCAGTTCTAACCGAAATTTGAACTCTATTGGCTGAATTTTAGGATTAAGACCTTAAGACCGAAGCATAAACCAGGCAATAGTTGGATCTTATATTTAAGACCGTCTTAAGTTTTAAGATGCTATGAACCAAGCAGAGAGCCGCATTAACATCTTAAGATGGCTTAGTAAAAATGGACTATGAATATCGTATATATAGAAAGAGAAGACATCGGATAATAAGTTATAATTTTGTTACGCATTATATTGGTGTTTGTTGTGTACGTGAAATTATTTTATTTCATTTTATTTCAAATAAGATTTAGGAACATTATAAGGATAGATGCTTCACAGCAGATTTATTATTTTAAGACAGATCGGCTAAAATTATGCGAATATTCAACCCTAGACAATTTATAATCGTCATTGTGATTCAAAGGCATGCAAGAATTTATAAAAAAGTTGAATATATACTATTTTGTGTACAAAGTTTATCAAATAGAAATCTTTTTAACTTGTTGCTTATATAATTCAACAAATCTCGTATTGCAGTGTAAATTTGAATATAATTTATCTATTACTTTTCTCGGATTAAGAATTCGACAATTTTCTAAAAAGAAATTGATAAAATGTAGCTGTTTATAGATTTTAGAACTGAATTTCCACAAAAATCCTACCTATAAAAAAAAAAGTGGACCGCCGATTGAAATAGAGGTAGGAATAGATGAGGGTCTTTACTGATTAATCTGCTTTTACTAGATGAAATTTTAGTTAGAATTAAAGTAATAGCTTTAATTTTTAATTAAAGAGAATATAAAATCAAATTTAACAATGTATGTAATATATTTTTATTTATAATAATATATATATAATATTTCATAAAAGTGAAACAATGTTATAAAATGATAAGAGAGTGCTTAATTACATTTTTCTCAGATTATTTATTGTCAGATTATCGTGTGGCAAAATTACATCGACCATCATCAGACGAACAAAACTGCGCAATTTCACTCATTATATTATAGTATTCGGGAATTAAAATTACAATAAAAATTCAAACTAATAATGAAAATGTCGAGAATTGCGAAATTTCATATAACCGTAATTAATCAAAAATCGAATTAAAAAAAATATTTTTATAATTTATTAAAAAATCAGTAACAAAATTCTTAATTTGATGAAAATTACAATTTTTCTCAAAATACAATTATTATGAATACTAATTTAATGTACTTATTTTAATTATATAAATTCATCAAAATAATCAATTTTTACGAAATCAAAATTACGAAATAAAAATTTTAATTAAAACTTTATAAGATTTCAATTTCATTTAATTTAATTAATTCAGTTTAAAGCACAAATTATTTTATTAAAGATTGTCTTAATTATGGAAGGAAATGAATTTGAAAGGAACTAAATACAGATAATTAAAAATGCTAATTTTTAAATAAAGTAACAGAATTGTTATAGATATATATGTATATATTTTATGATTTGTACATTTATAATTATAGATGATAAAATATTAACTATAAAATCTTTGTGTAATTTTTTCAATCTCGTCAATGATTATGTTTCTATAATCAAAAACAGTTTTTACATGAATAGTCATAAGGTACTAAAATAGTAATTCAACCATGAACGTTTCATGAAAGAATAATTAAAATGTAAATTGTAAAATAAAATAACAATACAATTTTAATATTATTTTCTTGATAACTTTTATGAGATCTAAACCAAGGCATACATTAATCTATGTATAAATGTTAAATTAAAAAAAGTTCTGAGATAAAAAAGTTTACATAATAAAATCTGATATTTACGTATTAAAATCCAATATTATTTTCAATACTAATACAGTATAATCAATTATTTTTGTAACGTGTACTGTAAATATAATCTAATCGCCTTGGTAATACGGATTTCGGATAAAAAAATATTATATAATATATATTATTCATATCTAACGCTAAAAATAGGGTATCTTTTAAAACCGACAATATTACAGATTTAGTTATTCGTTGCGCATAGTTGATGATAAAAATGCCCCACGTACGTTGACCCTACATACCACTAATATGTAAAACCCAAATATTATACCCAAATATGAGAAAATCTTTATGAATCAAATAATACTTTGCTCTTATCCACAATCAGAAATTCCTTGAAGATATTTCTTCAAACAACTCTGTTTGTCACTCTATCTCATTTTTGGTCCGTTTTACATTGCTCTGTACAATACTTCAATCCGATTCCCTCTTCTAATTGCATAGCCAATTTGTGAAGCTAACCGCCGCTACGTAAAGAATAAAACGATATACTTCGTAAAGCGGTGAACGCTGTTTTTCTGTGAGTACTGCGTCGATACCACGATCAAGTTCGTCTGTATTTCTCACGCAGTACTATTCTAATGTGCTTAAAATAGAACAAAATCCTTTCTTTCGTCTATATAACATAACAAAAAGTCCACACACATTACTTAAACTATTTAACATTCATATGATCTATCTATGGTTCGTATAATACAAGTTCACTCCCTACGTTAACTCATCCGTGCACAGTTTTCTCTCCTCCTCCACTCGCTGCCGAGTACGATTAAAAGCTTCCGTCTTCACGAAATCCACGGTTTTGTACACAGTCGTATTTGGGAGGGGCTGCGCGGGAGGTAATGTTGAGGAATTAAAGCTCTCTGTCGTTTCTAAGTCGAGATCCAGATACTGCAGCACTACTAAGCGATTAGACGCCGGAATGAATGTGTTATGATCTTGATAATAGTATATCTGGAAATCAAATTACGCATAGCGGATAAAATCATGCCACGACTGCCACGTCATATGTAACGACTAAGATTACAAACGATTCTTAGAATCGCTCTACAAACCTCTTCTCTATCCTCGAATGTGTTACTGTCTTCATCTGACGTCGATTGATGACGTATCGAATGCACATGCGACGGAGGTGTCGGACTGGGTGCCGCCCGTATCCTTCCTCTTCCAGGTGGAGACGCTAATTGTAGATGAGGTGCTATCGAGAAATATTACATGTTGAACATATTCCTCTTATTACATACTTAGAAAGTAGACAAAGAAAAGCCTACCTTCCACTGGTGATTTATTCAATGATGGCTTCAACTTCCTGTTGATGGTCGGCGGTTCGGCTGGAGAATGTTCAGCGGAACTCACATCATATGGTGCTATTGTCGGACCCGGTGATGGTTCATTGCTTACGATAGACATTGAGTCACTAGTTTTCCTGCCCGGCTTTAACTCTCTGTACACCATAGGCGGAGGTGGCGCCATGGTAGTTGGTACACCGCTCGAACAAGCATCTCGTACGACAGGACTCGATAAATTCGAGTATGTCGTGGTCGAGTTTTCAGAGCGCGGACTTGACGGCTCGACGTCATGGAAATCATAGCGGAACACATTCTGCGTCTCGTCATTGATGGTACTCGGTGCAGCGTTTGAGTAGAAATGTTTCGACGACTGTTCGATCGCTGCCGTATTACTCTCGACGGTTGTTTGTGCCGCTTGTGGTTGATGAGATCTAGGAAAATCATATGACTCATCGGTCACGGCACCCGTTGTCGTTGTTATAGCGGCAGCAGGCGTCGTCGGCGCCGGCGTCGCCGGAGTGCTCGGTTTCGAGCTTTCGGTAGCACCATCTAGATTCAGGTAGTTGTGACCAGGATTTTCAGGTAACATATGAGGCGGTTTCGGTGGTCTGGGCGGTGCTGGCAATTTCTCCACGGCTGGTGGTATTGCAGAATCGACAATCCTGAGCTTGCCGAAGCGTTTCTTTACACTCCACGAGCCAATCTCATGATCAGCCGGACCATGAGGTTGTCGCGAATCACCTGTCACGATTTTATTTAATTAGTAAAGATAAGAAAAATTAATTAAATCTCTCACGCGCATTGCCAAACATTCACCCGTTGAAGGAAGCGTGTCCCAATTCGCACTCGGCACACACGTTGTCCATTCATCGTCGGTAAAAACGCTCTCGGCATCCGTTGTCGTGGGTGATCGCGGTGGCGAGGGTGCCAATCTTCTCGGCGCGTCGTAATGTTCGGGTCCCTGTCCAAGAGCCGAACTCAGGGAACTGGTATCATTGAGCCGACGACCGGAAATGCACTCGCTAATAGGAATGTAAGGACCAGAGATCGTGCTAGTGGGCGAAGTAGGTGGGGATTCTTGAGACTCGTATTGGAACACTAAAAAAAGTTGAGACATCCTGCTGTTAATGCTCGGATCAAGTTAGAAATTAAGATTAGATTGGAATTTGACCAATCAAAGCAAAGTTCAATTAAATTTGATATGGAACTTTTTTCTTCTAATACATATATTAGGCTCATTTTAAATAGACTAATTTTATTTTGAGACCCAAGTTGATACATTATTCTACTTTTCTTAACATTCAATAAATAATTGTGTTGACTTGTCACTAAATAAAAAACGTAATCTATATTTGTACCAGAAATCAGGTTCTATCCAAAGTTTAATATACATGTTTTGTATTTATGTAAGAATAAGCAAGAATTTGCATAAGCAACAAAGAGTGCTTTTTTTTAGTGATACAAACTACTTTGTATTTTATCTTCGTTATTATTCACAGTATGCTAAGAAAGAAAGAACAATATTTGATTAACTTGTGTTATTAAATAAAAAGCATTGAGAGAGTTAATACAAGATTGTAGTCTAATTACTTTGTTGTTCCTCGTCCTGAGTGTAGGCCTTCAAACCGCAAACTTGGCACACAGCATCTACCCATTTATTCATGTCCGCTTCGTTCTCAGCAACTAAATAATAGATCCTCTTCGGTGTTTTTACATTAAACATATACTGATACTTCTGTTTACGATTTTCAAAACGAAGACCTGCATCAACCTGTGACAGAGTATTAATAAGTATTTGTAGCTCGTAAGAACAGATTCTGTGAATGTGATGGATACCTGTTCACACTGATCCAGATCAATACGACCTTTGAGCTTACGGCAGCGTCTATCTGTATAATATTCTAAAAAGTATTGACCAGGCAGCTCTCCACTATGACGAAGGGCAAACCATCGTTTTCTCCATCTCTATTAAAAGAAGTTATCAGAGATAAGACTATTTATCTTTGTTTCAAACTTAAAATAAGCTAGAATATTATCAATAAAGTTTCAATAAACGTCTGAGTAACTGATAAACACATTTATTATAAGAACGTTAAACCCCTTTTATTGAAAACACATAGGAATACACCAAGTCAAGAAAAAGTTAAAATGATTTTATTTTGATGTCAAGAAAAAGTCAAAAAAATGATTTTTGGTTACTAAATTCAACTATTTATTGATATCAAGACTCAAAATAGTATTTCCTTTTGTTGACTTTTGTACGCTCTTTAGACGAGTTCCAAAAGTAATCAAAAGTAATAAGAAAAACCACGAATTTTCTAGAATTAGGTTAGGCCAAAATATATTTTTCGCAGCGAACCAGGATAGTCGTCGCCGATGTTTTAGCTTTCCACGGAAGATTAGACAACGCCCAGGAGTCCACAGTCGATTTCACTGGTAGATAAAAAAAAAAAAAAAAACGGGGAAATCCTGGGCGGACGTAAACAATGACCTAGTCTCTCCGTCTGGGAGCCTCGTAGATAAGAGAACGCGCGACGCGCGGTTCTGTTTAACATTATTTAGTACGAACCGCTCTCCAGAGCTTGGTGGGCGGCGATTTGATGAGCCATCCTTCATGGACGATTTCCTGGGACGTCTTGAGCACCTCCATCTCTTTCTCCACCCGGGAGAGATAGTCGATGGTGGCCAGGACGGCGCGATCGCTCTGGATCGCTCAATTGCTCGATCGCTCGTTGAGTGATCTACGATCTGAGTATCGTGTGGGACATTCTGAAAAAGCGCGAGGAACCACCGACGACGGAGACGACGACGCGTTCGTCGACCATTTGTCTATTTTTGGCCCCAACGGCGCAACACGGAGAAACGAACGACAGTCCCTCACGCACGTCGACTGTGCCCCCCTCCCTTTCCCTGATCTTTGCTGACTCTCTCGTCTGTTCCAGCCTCTTCCGTTCCTCACGAATGCCGAGCAGTCTGTCTCTCTTGCGTGCGCACGCGCGACGGTACATCGACACGCGGAGAAACACGGAGAGCCCGGAGCAGGCCGCAACGGGATACTGCAAGTCTCGGTACAAAGACACGCGCGCAACAGCGACGGGACCGTTTTCCGTCTCGCCTCGTCCCGTCCGCCGCGTATGCTGCAATTGCCACCACTCGCCGTCGTGGCCACGCGTGCCAAGGCTCGCGCAAGTGACATACTCCGGAGCGCAGTTGACGGTGACAGCCGACGACGCAGTAACGTACGGGCCCCCGTGCTCGCCCGTACCCTCGATTAGGCGTTGCCCAGAAAGAATACTAAATGCCCGTGTTTATCGATGTAAATGGTAGCAACTTTAATCTTAATTTCACTTTTTATCTTGGTATTTCTAAGAATTCAAAAAATTTTTTAAGTAAATTAAAGAGCGATTAAGTTTATCTACTTTCGTGGAAATCGACAAGAATCGTAATAAAATCATAACGATATCATGGAGACATAGAATATCATCATGATGTCTTTTGATACTTAAAAATGAACTTGAGTGACAAATAAGATCTCGTGATGACGTCTTTATGATAGTTTATTATGACTTTTGCGTTTTATTTGAGTGTCTCTTTCGCGTTGCTCTGATATATATTTCTCAATATATACTTCCTTTAATCGAAAAATTAAAGGAAACGACATCGCAGGGTCCCAATAAAGATTTAAAAAAGAATTAGCGCCGGAAGTGACGCCGTCGCGTCGGAAATCAAGAAGATTCTGCGCACGCTAGTTGGAAGAGACAGCTGAGTTCTTCAAGTAGAATAATGATCGTGTCACACAAAATGAATGATGACGTTAAAATGAGTCACCGCATTGCATTGATCGAAACGTCTAACGAACTGATAAAGATATCATTTCGTCAAAATGATGACAAATAACGTCAACTTTGTTAGGACTTTTAATAATCATTTTGGAGATATTGTGACATTATTTTTTGATATCACACATTAAGACTTTTTGTTCTGCAGTTTGAAAGAAAATGTGTCCGCGAATAAACGACGCGGAAAGACGTCGAGGATCCACGCATTTGTTCGCATTCCGTTAATACATAATCAATTGTTTTAGTTTTTTCGTTTTTTCTAGAAATCCGCAAGCTGATATTCATGATGAGTTCTTATTTTAAGCTCATCTTAAGTAATATTTTAAGATACCATGGTTTTGTGATTAACTTATAACATCTTAAAATTGTACTTAAGACGGTTTTTTTTTAATATAACTGCAACTATGACCGATATTCATAAACCGGTATTCGTAATTGCGATTATCCTTATATTTCAGAATGTATTAAATACTGTATTAAAATATCATAAAACAGTTAGAGGCCAGTATTCATAGTCGGATCTTATTTTAAGACTGTTTTAAGTAATATCTTACGATGCTAATAAAACGACTTTTTGACGGACTATCGAATATACCGCATACTTATAGTCGATACTTACATTTAAGATTGTCTCAAGTACAGTCTTAAAATGTTGTGAACCACAATCAGAAACCCATAAAAATATTTTAAAACATTACTTGGGAAGGTCTTAAAATAGAAATCTATACTTAAATATACCGATCTATGAGTACATAAAACGGCCGGATTATACCATGTACAGTCTGGTCACGAGATGATAAACTTTTTTGATTCGCCCGTTGTTTTTATCAACTTTAGTTACGAGTAGAGTGAATAAAATAGTACAAGTTAGAATGAGATGGCATATACTATACAAAGAGACAGTACAATAAAATTGCTCGTGATCAGACCCTGCGTTATGGGAGCTGTGTTCCTTTACTGCCAGCACTGAAAATATTATACTACAGTTTACATTATGTTATAAATTTTTAGTACTGGCAGTCAATTTTGAGACACAGCCAGGATCTTTAATCTTCCTCTACCGCCTCTGTCGCGCGCCGTCGATTGTCGACAACTTCGCGCCGTCCGCCATTGCGATCGCTCGCACGCGGAACGCACAATCACTCGCGGCCGCATTCACGACGTTCGAGAATGAATCGACGCTGTCCCGCCCGTCTCGCTTTCTTGTATGGTGAGCGCCGTCTTCGGTATTTCAGAGATTCCAATGACGCGTTCGATCTTTCGTCATGAGATGCTGAGTGTTGCCGAACATATGCGGATTTCCCTGTACATATTCTTTTACATCGTTTTTCCGCCAAGTTAATGACAAGCGTGATACTTATTTGCTCGATTCATTCGATTCGCTTGATGTCCCAAGCAGAACAAAAGTCATCATGACGTCAAAATGGCTCCAAGATGGTTATTAACTTTTAGTGCATACAATTAGGTCATTTCTTTCTTTGAAATACCAAAGACATTATAATTAGTAATTATAACAATTTTTTTAATACGCAGCCTTACAAATATTTTCTAAAGACGTTAATAAAAAATATATATGTATATATATTTTTACATATATAATATATAAAAATTATTTAATCATTTTTGTATATTTGTAAAAGTAATGAAAACTAATCTGGAACATAATCAATCCATCGTGTGTAGTAAAAAAAAAAACCAGAAACTCATCATATACATATATTAATAAGAATTAAAACTTTTCCATCGATTACGGTTACTTTAATGTCATTTTGACGTTATCGCGACCTATAATTGTCCTGTTTATAATTAAAGTCTACTCTATATCAACATTTATCATGCCCATTTCAACATAGATTAGTTTTATCTCGACTTGATTTTCTATTTACTTTCTTTAATTGTAAAAAATAGAAAAGATAAAGAGCATATTAAACTGAGATTAAAGTTACTTCCTATTTAAAATAGATTAACTTTATATATATAGGCAATCAATTTGACCGACAGAATCGTCTAAAATAAAATTTACAACCGTATAGTGCGTAATCCTAAATCTTCTTCTTTTATATATTAAACGATGAAATAATTTCGTTAATTCTATCTTTTCTCTCTCTTTCTCTCTCTACGTTAATAAAATATTAACTTAATAAATGAATCGCCGATTAATTGGAGCTTATAGTCAAAGTCGTTCCAAGGCTCGATTATACACAACTTCTCGACTTCAAACAAAAAGGAAAGAAGAGACTAATCTAGAAGTAATAAATTCCACGGTATTTGAGCTGTACTTCGAGGTGCCGTCTTCCGTTTTAGTCTATTTTACTTCTTCGCGCGAATACTATCGTCCGCGCCGAAGTGCAAATTCGCGACGGAAGGGCAATGTCGGCGTCGCGTATAATGCGGGGAATAGCACTTAATTTGCAATTCAATGGGTCGACGCTGTAGACCGTGCCGATCGATATTCAAATCCGGTTCTCGTCTATTGCATGTTAATCCCACAAATCTAGCGCCGTAAGCGAGAACGCCTCGTGCGCCGATAATAACTTCATAATTAATCGACTGATCATTTTCGTTTAGGCGCCCACCGGTTAAGAACCGTAAAAAATCAGAATAGACTTGATTGCATTATGAAAATGAAATGTTATCATAGATTTGAGCTAAACAAAAAGTTATTATGACATCAAAATGGTGTCAAAATGCCTTATAAACTTATTATAGACATAGAAGAATAAATTTATTTCCTGCTCTTATATTATTGCATTTGTGTTCTATAAAAAGAATTGAATATTTTTTTTCATATTCGATACTTTAAAGAGTGATACATGTATTTTGAACTACATCAGTCTTTCTGAATGTAACAATTTTATGGGAATATGCAGTTCATTCTTATTACGTCTATGATAATTACCCAGTATTCGAAAAGGGATTTAAATAGATTGAAAATTTTTTATCTATTTTAATTCATTTGAATCAAAATTCTTGACTCACGCATATGGATAGAAAAGAATTAAATGTATAGTAAAATTGAATAAATTTCTATCCATATGGATAGAAAATCTTTGTGCATTGTTGAAGTAAAAATGTATAACTTTGTACTTGTGTCACAAATGAAAATAGATTCATGATTCGCGAAATTTTTTCTATTGAAAAGAATAAGATCACCTATTATAGGGCCATACCTGGATTCGAGATTCTCAAATCTGTTTTGGACTGAAAGAATAGCAATTATGTCATTTAATACATCATCAGAGATTAAAACGGATTACATAGTTTATTTTTTTAGCGAAACCTTTTTTCGATTGAATAGAATAAGATTTACTTTCTTCCAATCTTGTATATTATGGACAAAAATAAATTTAAAGCTCTCAAATCTGCATTGGATTAAAAGAATAAGATTTACGTTTCAATCCTATGTCATGGATTAAAATGAATTGCATGGCTTATTTTTTCTGCAAAACTTTTTTTCGATTAAAAGGAATACAAATTCTGTAAATTCGATCCCACGTCATAGATTAAAATAGATTGCGTGTCATTATATTTTTTGCGCAAAACTTTTTTTTTTATTGAAAGGAATAGAAATCTCGTAGTTCCAAGTCATGAATTAAAATAGATTCAAACATTGAATGGATTGAAATGGATTTAAAAAAATCAAGAATTTGAATTCAGCGCAATGATCAAATGAATCTATTTCAATCTATTCCAATCTTTTTCTGAATACTAGGTATTAAATCATTGCACGTAAAACAGTGTTAGTTGTACGTAATCCTTGCAGAAATTTGATTTAATACTAGAAGTTATAGAATATCGTTCAATTAAGTACTAGAAGTTACTTATTTTAAGTACTAAAAGCA